GTAGTTGGTTTGCAACCAATATTGCAAACCATATCTGAATGGAATTTATATGTATATACAGGCCTCTCTTCCTTGAATTTAAGTCTGAACAGAGCCAGACACTTTGTCACAATGGCAAATGTTTTGCATTGTGCTCTAGAAAATCAACGCAAATATTTTAACATGAAAAATATGCAATAGAATCGAAATAGTAAGTGCACAAGATCTTAAAATGCTAATTTCTTGATACTTTGAACATTTTTATGTCTTCCTATAGACCTCCAAGCTAGTTTATATAATTAAAGAGGTACTTTTAGAGTTTTGTTTGTAAATTAATAATTTGTTTTGTCTCTGTTAATATTCCTAGTTTTATTATTTCCCCCTAGTTGTTTAATCACACATAATATATAGTGGTGACTCCTGTTTGTTACAGGAAACAATCTCTGGCAATGGGGTGAGTTTAAATAAAGTTCTATCTCAGTTGCTAAGCTACTTTACCCATAATATTTCAGTCAACAGAATCCTACAGGATGGCAAACTGAAGAACTCATGGACAGAGGAGAACAAAATGTTGGCGCCATACAGAGATCTAGAACAAGGTAGAAAATATATTAAATATAAGTAAAGGTAAATGGCAAAAGAGAAATATAATCAAGATACAAGAGGCATAAAAAAGGGGAAATGGAAAATGGAAGTGCCACTTTAATACCAAATACGGTGCATTATTATTATACACATCCGTTTCCTAAAAATTTAATTAGATATGTTATACCTCTCTTAATGCTGCAGGGAATTGGGACTATCAAAAGTAGGGTGCCAAAATCAGATGGGGACTCTTCAGCACCCTACTTAAGACTTTAGCCTGGGTCAATTCCCCTAGCAACACCTATGTGTCTAGGTGTAATTTGCTCCTTCTCCCACTGTTGTAATACACCTCATTGTTTGTTTACCAATCACTGTGTTTAAGAGGGATGGAGGTCTGTTTTCTACACTCTGCTAATTCAGTGGATTGTGAAGAAAAATTCTAAATAAAAATCACCATACATTTTACCTATAACCCTTTTTTTTTTTTTTTTTTTTTTTTTTTCCCTGGGGAAAAGGAGAGGGTCTATGCATTATACCTATATTAGGATTTTAGTTTAGTGCCTAAAATGTCCTTTTAATTCAATAGTATGTCACTGCACAATATGAAAATGTAAAAATGTCAAAGGAGGCACTCTATGTGTTAACAATATACTAAAGGAAAAATTGATCCAAATGAACACTTTGTAAACATGCTTGCAAACTTACTAACTTTAGTTACCATGAAAATAATTTTCTAAAGCAAATGAACCACCAGAAGTAAGCATGATAAGATGTGTATCAGTGTAACGGATCCCCTGGCACCCCGACTGGGTACCTTCCGTTGACAGATGCTCCTAGTGCTTCCCGAGGGCTCCAAGCACCTCACTAGACACCATAACCACCGCAGACCCCACAAACCGCCGCAGCTTGGTTGGGGTTTCGCCATCTTCCTCCTACTCTGGGCCCAAGACCCTGGACCAGCTTCCAGTAGGTGGACCTCTCCTAAATCCAGAGAGCAGAAACAGGAACAGGAACAGGAACAAGCTCTTACAAGAGCTTACTCTGGGGAGTATAGTGATTGCAGCAATCCCCAGAGTGTAGGTAGTTCTCCAATCCCCCCAAACATGAGCCGAAACTTCATGAAGGGTAGAACAAGTCTGTTTAATGAGCACAAAGTCATTTCTTTTATACACATTTTCCCCACAAGGTTACCACCCACGTGGACCTTGTGGAGCACAGGACACAAAGGACGCAAACCAATCAAAACAATACAATAATGTCCGACACTCCCACATCCAGCACACAAGCCCTCCCCACTGCCTGGGATACAATTAAAGCAGCTAATACAATAAACTAATTATCCACAGGCAGAAAAACACCCATTTTCCCCAAAGTCCAGAAAACACCCCAAAACATAACACATGTTATGTAACACATGTTACATAACACCGGTTAGTCCTGATCTGGGTGAAAACTATATCCAAAAATCACCCAGATCAGAGCAGGGGTTCAAACATTTTCTGGAAGTTACATTTGACCTACCGCAAGCATGGCTTTCATGCCCAAAACAGTTCCACGGAGTTAGGCTGTGTGGCAGGTCTAGCTTCTCCTCTATCCTGGAGATAATTGGCTTAAGTGGCTGTGGTAACTTAATTATCTCCAGGTACAGGAAATATCTCTAAGTCAGAAACTGTTACAAAAACCACATAAAAATACATAACTCTTATAATACAATGTTTAACCTATATGTCCAACATATTCCCAGATAGCTTGGATCTGAGCGCTCAATATGTCCAATGTTAAAAGTGCCCTATAGTACAAATAAGGGTGGGGTCAGAAAATAGCAAGGGCTGATGGGAGATTGAGGAGGGACAAAGCAGCCAATTTAAACTGGTCTGGCCGTGTCCCTGGGACAATGCCCTGCTGGAGAAACAATAGGACAGGAAAAAGGTCGAGGGGAAGAGGCACATTTTCTCATGGATTTAAAGGGGCAGAAAAAGTGATTTAAAATCCAATATGCTCAAATAAAGCTTTTAAAGGGCAATACATCCCAGGGGCCATAGTCACAGGGCAAGAGGCTGGCAAGCAGACCTCTCCAAATCCCAGTGACGAAGGTGCTTTCGTCACAATCAGGTATTGCTAAATCTGTACCAGGGACATCTAGCAATTGCAGGAACGTGATTGTGGTATGAATTGCTGTGAACATCCACAGACATCTCAACACCAGGATGTTATACACACATCATATTATTTTTATTATTATTTATAAAGTGCCAACAAATTCTGCAGTGCTGAACAATGGGTGGCCAACACAAGTTATCTTTTGCAAAGAATAGTTTTAAAAACCTACAGTCTCGAGCTTTGTTTTCTAAAAACAAATAGAGAGTAATAATAGCTGATGCATAAAAGTAGGACAATGAAACAAATGTCTTTATATGGAGATTTTTGGGGGATACATATAAATATGTAATTTAACAGAATTTTTAATTGATATGTTCAAACTTGGAAGGATTATCTGAGTTATAATGTTTATTATTAGATATTACACGTTGTCATTTGTCATTGTGGCTACTTACAGCCTCTGAAAATTAGCATTAAAGTACAAATACCATTTTTGCAACAAAGTAAAAAAGTGAGGTATGTTGCTGATGGAAAATATTAAGAAATCTGCTAGCAATTTTGTGAATCTACTTAGAAAATTTCAGAGATCGTTAAAAACTGGTATAAACGTGCCTGCAAAGCCTTAAAGCTGTTATTACTGACAAAGGTGACTACCGTACAATTATGTGGGAGTTGAATAATTAATTTACATTTTCATTCAATTTCTTGACGAATTCCCCCAACATAGAGCCACAGTCACTTTAAAATGTATATTTTTTTTAATACATAAATTTCTATATAAAACAATGTATCAACACTTTATTAAGTGTTCTTGCATAGCAACACCACTTAATGTTATCTCACATATACATAAATTTCTATATAAAACAATGTATCAACACTCTGACCTATATTTAATAATATCGCAGTGCCGGGGTTAGGCATCATGGAAATTGCATATAAAAAACCTAGTGCTTTGTATTGAAATATATTTGTGAACGGCAAGTCTCATGATATTCAGACAGCCTACAGGTTACTCTGAGTATTACATGAATGGTGGGGGTGGCCTTCTGCACAGGACATTGATTGTAAAAAAAATAAAAATTACAATAAGAATAAAACAATCAGAGAGAAAAGGAAGTCATGAATAAACTGTACTTCCTTTATAAAGTAAAGCTTTCAGCTTGCTACAGCACCACCTACAGTTTAGTCTGTTAAACACACTTATTATATATGCTAAATGATTTTTTTACCAAAACACTTTCCACACCAAACACCAGACACCAAACAATATTTTTTGAGAATATATTCTTGATGTGTAACCACTCTCTGTGCTTCTTGACAGCTAGACCAGTGACTCGGTGCTAAACTCATCTGTGATGTTGTCTTCACAGAATCCAAGTCATTTTCTGTTCTCAGAATACTACGAATGACCATTGGAGTGGCGATTCTTCGTAGTGTCTTACAGACCTTATAATTAATAATAAATGTCTACAGATCCTTGTGTATATTGAAATCCCAGTAGCAGTTACTATTTGTGTAAGAAAGATAAGTTTTATTGAGTTTACTGATTAGCAGAGATCCGTGAGTCATACTGGTGCAGATGTTCCTGTTTCGATACAAAGAGGCATTGTATGAATTTGCATTATAAAGCCATGACATTATGTTAAAAGTGTGAGTGGAGAATAAAAGCATTATTGAGTGCTTTTAGTGCTGTAAATTACATGCATACTTGGATGTACTAACTCTTAATGTTAACCATATATGTGTCAGACAGATTACATTGCATTCAAAGAGTTGAATACCTGGAGTTTTCCATAAAGACTCAATACTCCCACTGCTCTTTGTGGTTTATTTACCACAATAATCTCATTGGAAGTTTTCAAACTCAAATTTTATTGACATTTTTTTTTGTTATTATTATTTTTAACATTTATATAGCTCTGACAGTTTCCACGGTTCTTTATATTTGTACAATGTATATTAATGGGTAGATTTATATGTTATTTAGCAACAAGTAAGTTAAAACCACAAATAATATTGACAGACATAGAGGTGAAAAGACTCTGTTCAAACAAGCTTACCATCTAGGTGAAAGAGATAAATGAATGCCACAGGAAGAACCAAAGGCATGGCTTGAAGGTCCACCAAGATGGACATGTGATCAGGAGGCTCCGTACTCCGTATCCCACACACTGTATAACCTAACTGGCTAAACTGCATGGGCCGTGGAAAAAAGTTTTCATCCTCATGCAGAGAGAGTACTGACCAGATGGATCAGTTTCTCTCCATTCCCAGAGATCTCCGCTGCATATGGTCAGAGCTTGGAATTGCACTTGCCTCCCTGGCCTTATCTTATGCCTGCTAGGAGACGTGATCGGATATGGGGATCCGAAGCCGAGAGAAACAATACATCAGGAGGTATGTGCGCCACCTCCCCAGTTATCATCAAAGCGGATTTAGCCACATTCCCCACAGAGAGTAAGGTGACTATGCTCACAGAGCTGGCTGAACTATGCTCCAATATTGCAAGAATGGAGGGTAGAGTGTCAGCAGTGGAGACACAAGCAGTGCAGACTGATCAGAGCCATAGAGCCATGGAGTTGGCAGTAGAAAGACAGGGTTCTGCTTCGCTGTATGTGAGGCTCTGTGTGGAAGACCTTCGGTAATCAAAAGAGGTGCAGCAGTGTGCACATTAGAGACCATATTGAGGCCACTGCCCAAGAAGAGCTGACATCTATGTTGTTAGATCTTTAAAGCCTAATTTTGGAGGAAGACTGTCCTATTGACGTCCAGCAGGAGAGTGCTCACAGAGTACTCCTGCCACAGACCCTTAAGGATCCTCCCAAAGATGTTACTGTTGCTTCCATTCCTAACTGGTCATGCTTTCTTCTGCATTAGCGAATAGACCAAAGACTCAGTTCCCGTTTAAATGGTGCCCTGAGGTTATCAAATATTTAGGTGTATGGATTCATATTGTCTCTACTCAACTGTACCCTAGAAACTTTCTGTTCCTGCTTCAGAGAATCCAATCTGATTTGAAGATATGGGGCAAACTCTGTGTGTCATGGTTTGGGTGTAGAAATAAAGGTGCTGTGTCTGCACAAACTTCTTGGTGGGGTTTGTTCTCCTCATTTGAAAACTACTGCTTTGCCACTCATCTCTTATGTATAGTGGATGTGCAGGCGAAAGAGGTGGTGACACACTGCATTGACTTAGAGATGGCAGAATCGCAGGGAACCCTATTGTGGTATGGATTTAAAAGAGGCACGTGAACCCAGCTTTGCTCTGTCATCCCTATATTGTGACTACTTTAGCAGAGTTGTTCTCCTGCAGGGAAAGATTTGATCTTTCCCCCACTACCTTTAACTATTGATGTCCCGAACGGTTCGCCGAACAGTTCGCAAACAGTTCGCAAACGGTTTGCCACGGTTCGCCACGAACGGTTCGCCGCGAACTTCAGTCAGCAGATACATTCCAGCCAATCAGCAGCAGACCCTCCCTTCCAGAACCTCCCACCTCCTGGACAGCTCACTAAGAATGCAGCTTCAAAATGGATGCTGTCCAGGAGGTGGGAGGGTCTGGGAATGACGGTCTGCTGCTGATTGGCTGGAATGTGTCTGCTGACTGGAGTCCGTGGCGAACCGTGTGTGGCGAACTGCGGCAAACCGTTCGCAAACCGTTCGGCGAACCGTTTGGGACATCACTACCTTTAAACCCACACTTTATACCAGAGATTCACTCAATGGCTCTAGGATTCATGGAAAGACCCCATCGTTCACATGAGCGCTTTCTGGGAACCTAATAGAGCCTTCAAAAAATATGTTGGAAAAACATGAATTTTATAAAGTACTACTCATTGTTATGGATCAGATTAAAGTTGTTACATAGTATATTGTATTAAACTCCTGTCAACCTATATCAGCTAGATTCTGAAGACTGAGGATCCTAATGAGAAATGTGTTTCACACAACAATATTCAGGAGTCAACATGATATTGTGACGGACAACTCATGTCAGGCTAACTTAGTTACATTGTATGAACATGAGATAAACAATATAGAGGTTTTCAATGTGTGTGCAGAACGTTACCAGATAAATTGTAATATTGTGGGAGTGGTAAAATAAAGTGATAGTGGTGATACAAAAATCCAAAAGTGACATATGATACATTATTCATATACATATCTATAAAGGGGTAACAAACATTTATCTTGTGATCTATTCATTAACATGACTATACAGAAATCATAAAATCATCTGCTGAGACTTCAGGAAAGAAGAATACAAGTTCAGCAGTGGCAAGGATTCTTTATGGTAGGAATGATAAAGATGCTGATGGACCTACAATAACAGAGATATTGTAGAAATGTTATGATGAGATTATGTAATAAATATAAAGATAAAGAATTATCAGTCACTATGACAGATCCTCCTGTGAGGAGCCAGGATTCATCTCAAGTTGAACATAATTATTCAATAAACAGATCTATCTATCTATCTGCAAAATATAAAATTTTTAAGCTCTTTCTTAAAATAAATATTGAAGTAATTGTACATTAACCACTACACAATAGGACACACACAAAAAAAAAAACAACGTAAAATCATATCTCACATAGGGCCATATACATCAAGTGCTAAATGCAGGAGAAATATTTCTGAGTGGTTCTTCCTCATTATTATTTTTCTACAGAATCATGTTAGGTTTTCCTAGACAAATATGACCCTCAAAATACAACATTTCAGAAATCTTATGCATTTTAGGCTACATCAACATTAGCGATGGTGACATAGAACATGTTGTGTAGTACAGAGTAGTAATTGTAAGCGGGAGAGCATGTTGTTTAGCAAAGGGTAGTAATTGTAAGTGATTATTTCTGATGACTTAAAGGTAGGCAGACAATGTAATAGAGCAGCAGGAAATGCTAGCAGAACGCTTGGTTGTATAGGGAGAGGTATTAGCAGTAGAAAGAGGGAAGTGCTCATGCCATTGTACAGAACACTGGTTAGACCTCACTTGGAGACTCCTCATTACTGGAGACTGTATCTTCAGAATGATATTGATAGCTTAGAGAGAGTTCAGAGAAGGGCTACTAAACTGGTTCATGGATTGCAGGATAAAACTTACCAGGAAAGGTTAAAGGATCTTAACATGTATAGCTTGGAGGAAAGACGAGACAGGGGGGATATGATAGAAACATTTAAATACATAAAGGGAATCAACACAGTAAAGGAGGAGACTATATTTAACCCCTTAAGGACACAGCTTCAGAAGCTTGACTTACGCTTAATGACACAAGCAATTTTTGCATTTTCTTGCTGTTTGCGTTCAACTGCAATTTGCATCTCTCTCATTTATTGCACCGACACATATTATATACTGTTTTTTAAAGGACAGAAAGGGCTTTAATTTGATATAACATATATATATATAAATGCTTACTTATTATAAAAAAAATACAGAAAAATGCAAAAAAAATGAAAAATATTGTTTTTTTTTACAGTTTTTGCAATAATAATGTGTGCATAATTAGTGCAGGTTAAGGAAAGTAATTAAAAATAAATTTATTTATTTGTTCTGATTTACAGAATATATAATGTGTCTGGGATTTTAAGTTTTTTTTTGTAGTTACAGGTCACAAAGCACAAGGAGTAAAATAAACTTTTAATGTGGAGCGATTTTAGAATTTGGTATGTTTGTCTTGTAAGCTTAATAGCCATAAAAGAAAACAAAATTGCCACACAAAAGTATATATTTATATAAAGTAGACATCACGGGCTATTTACCTAAGGTTGTTTTGACACTTTCTACGTAGCCATTTCACCGCCAACCTCTGCTAAATATTTTAGTAAAATTGTGTTCTTTTTGGTTTTTGGCACACAAACTTATAACAGAGAAATTCTCGTGTATATTTTGTAAAGTTGGTGTGTGCTATTCCTGTACAAAGTTTTATTTTGTGTTCAGTTACATCTGCTGAGTAAAATGACACCCCCATTGTATGTCTTTTGCACTATTTCGTGAAGTTACAGTGCCATACAGGATACCTGTCCTTTTCAGTATTCACAGTAGAATTTTGAGAGATGGATTTAATGAGCCTTAGCTTCCATTTTGGGGTATTATAACAGTTTGGCTGTTCAAAAAACCCCCACAAAGGCCTACCATTTGTAAAAGTAGACACTCCAGGGTATCTTATAAGGTGCATATTGTGCCTTAACATGCCCCCATTTTTTCACCAATATATGCCAAAGTATGTGGTAAAAAATAATTTTGTGCATTTTTTACATACGGATTGCATTTTTGCTGGGCGTTTTGTATATTTCATATGTGCCACTAAGTTCAAACCCCCCAAATTATGCTCAGCTAAGTCTTCTGAGTAAAATGACACCCCATATGAATGTCTTTGGCACTATTTCGTGAAGCTACAGTGCCATATAGGAGACCTGTCCTTTACAGTATTCACAGTAGAATTTTGAGAGATGGATTTAATGAGCCTTAGCTTCCATTTGGGGTATTATAACAGTTTGACTGTTCAAAAAACCCCCACAAAGGCCTACCATTTGTAAAAGTAGACACTCCAGGGTATCTCATAAGGTGCATATTGTGCCTTAACATGCCCCCATTTTTTCACCAATATATGCCAAAGTATGTGGTAAAAAATAATTTTGTGCATTTTTTACATACGGATTGCATTTTTGCTGGGCGTTTTGTATATTTCATATGTGCCACTAAGTTCAAACCCCCAAATTATGCTCAGCTAAGTCTTCTGAGTAAAATGACACCCCATATGAATGTCTTTGGCACTATTTCGTGAAGCTACAGTGCCATATAGGAGACCAAGCCATATCCGTTTTTACCAAACTTTGAATTTTGACGCTGGGCCTATGTGCAATTTCCAAGCATCTTCGCAGGTTTTAAATTCAAACTACCCCACAAAGGCCTACCATTTCTTAAAGTAGACACCCCAGGGTGTTTCAAAAGGTATAGTTTGAACCTTAGCGTGGGATCATTTTTCCGCTAGCTTGTACCAGATGTAGTGGTAATAAGCGTTTTTTCTGCCTTTTTGACATACAAAGTGAGTTTGCACAGTATATTTTGCAAACCTTATGTGTGCTACGACTGTATAATACTTCATATGTTGCTCAGCTATGTCGGCTGAGTACAGCAATACCCCCGTATGTACCTTTGCCAGGTATGTGTGGACATCGGAGGGGCACATTTGGGACACAGCCATTCCAGTTTTTTTCAAACTTTGAATTTTTATGCTGTGCCTATGTCCCATTTTAGAGTATTTTACCAGGCTATATAATCCAAATTCCCCATAAAGCCATACCATTTCTTAAAGAAGACATCCCAGGGTATTTCAAAAGGCATATTTTGAACCTTAGCGTGGGATCATTTTTCCGCTAGCTTGTACCAAGTGTAGTGGTAATAAGCATTTTTTCTGCCTTTTTGACATACAAAGTGAGTTTGCGCAGCATATTTTGCAAACCTTATGTGTGCTATGACTGTATAATACTTCATATGTTGCTCAGCTATGTCGGCTGAGTACAGCAATACCCCCGTATGTACCTTTGCCAGGTATATGTGGATGTTGAAGGGGCGCATTTGAGACGCAGCCATTCAGTTTTTTTCTAACTTTGAAGTTTTACGCTGTGTCCATGTTCC